GGCTTGATGATCCTGGAAGCTACCGGAGGCTGGCGCTGCAACAGGGAGAAGATTAGACATGTCGTCTCTAGAGAAGCAGCCGGACGAGAGAAGTATGGCGACGATCATCACGTTCATGAGGAGGAACAAGACCGCGGGAGTGAGGCAGTTGCCAAGCGTTGCGATGATAGACCACATTCGTTGGCCCAGAGTGAAGTATAGAAAAGCAATAACAGGAAATGTGTACCCACCGGGAAACGGGAGAAGCCCCGAAAAGGAGAGAAGATCCATGGTGACGACTAACACGGCCATCAAGGACCAGAGTATGGCAACCTGCTTCAGACATGGAATTCCTCCGCAGGTGTCCGACACGAAGCAAGACTTCTTGTTGTCACCAAATTCCATGTAGCGGAGGTAAAAAGAACTCTGTCTGATTAAAGCAAAGGGAAAAGGAGAGAAGAACTCGGGCAAAGCGAGAGCGCTGAGAGATCTCAAGGGAGGACTGTGGCTTATATTTGCAATGTAGCAGAAGCAAACAAGGATCTTGGCTTCCAGACTACACTTCAAAAAGTGAAGCCTACAGCCGACCCTCTAGGCTGGGACATTTGAACAGATAACTAGCGAAAAACTTACAAAGGATGGAGATGTAGATAAAGTGAAGGACCACAGGAAACCAGAGCAGAAAAATCAAATCCCCCAAAGCAACCAGTCCCCTGAACTTGGAGAACAGAGGAGAGGAAGGAGAAGGAGGAGGGCACGAGGACGAAGAAATGCCAGGATGATTCAGGGTGGAATCGAAAACGAAGAATATAAAGGAAGAACCTGTGTACCGAGTGCGTGCTAGGAGAAAGCAGACAGCAGACACCGCCTGGCAAAACTCTAAAGCAGTAGCTAACCAGTGTTAACCCCTCGGTCGAATCACACCGCTGACCACACTGTGTTGAAACGATAGACTAGAAAAAAAAACCATACTCAGAGGGTCATTTAAGCACTCAGAGGGAGGAAAACAAAAAAAAACTAAGACTGTAACATACTGTCACGGAACAGTGACAGAGAAATGGAGGCAAGACCCGACAGCTACGTTGTGGATAGATTTGTAAAAGTGAAAGCAAGCCATACACTTTCAGCCAGCATAGCGGAACACGGAAACCAACCTTATCAAAGACGGGGTGAAAGTTAAAGAGGCCGGGGCCGCCTAGATGTTGTTCTCGCTCGGAAAGCAACATTGGCTCTCCCCAAAAACTATAAACAACTTCTCGACATCGCGACGAGAAATCATATAAAAAAGGACCAGGAGACACAGGATAGACTGGGCTTAAAGATTGCGCACCCCACACGACACATGACTTGTAAGAAACGAGACGATGAAGAAGCCAAGTGCAGTCAGCAGATCAGGCGGGAGCAGCAGGCAGCATAAAGCATCCATTGAAGAGCCATAAATGACGAGAAGAATCGCAAGAGAAAAGAAAAGAAAGAACGCAGGCTTTGCATGTCCACAAATGAATGCAGTACCATACAAAGAAGCCCAAGTACTTAGCGCCCTCTCTATAAAAAATGCAAGCACTCAAAGAGGAGGGAGGAAGAAATACGAAAGAACAAGAGCTTCAAGACCACTGCTTACTCGCAGAGCCATAAAATCTAGGGTGGAAATCTAAGGCATGACTGGGAAACACATAGAGAGGACCTATGTTACTGGTGAAAGGATCAGGGCAAGGACGATCACTCACCAGGAGCTGCGAGAGAGATTTGGATCCATTCTCCGTAGCTGCGCTGCTCCTTCCTGATTGACGCGCCAGGCATCCGTGCTCCTCCTGCGACCCTACCAAATATTTTGACCTAGGCCCCACGAGAATGTTTAAAAGCCCTAAAGGGGGATATTCGCGAGGGCGTGGGGCATATCCTTGGCAACGGGAAAGTTTCGTACGGCAGACAACGGTACGAAAGATTTACTATTTTTCAAGTGGATTGGCGAATATGCTCCCGGGTACAATAAGATTCGGCACGCGCAAATGCTCTCCAGTAGCGTGGATTTCACGAAGGCTGCCAGTGGTTTTATAAATGTAGCCTTTCCTCGCGATTTAGGGTTCTTGGGGGATTGTGGCAAGATCGTGTTGTCTAGGGAAGTCATGACCCTTGTGGTTCTTCTCTTCCAGTCGATCGGGATCAGTAGGCTGCTGCTGATTCTTCTCCTGCTGGCCTTCTCCCCTGATCTTGCCGATCTAGCGTCCAGGAGCCCCAAATTCTTCTTGTTCCTGGCCGTGAATTTGCTAATTCTCTCGCTGCTGATCGCAACCCCCAGTCTTAGAGGCAGTCCTGGCACGATCCCCAGCGAAGAATTCGAATCGCAGAGGGCGATTGTAGTTCGCGACCCCATGATCGTCGCCCATGTCAATTCCGCCGATGGATCGAGCAATGCTGATGTGTTTTTCATCTCCTCTCCCGCTTTCTACTGCGACAATGTTTCTCCGCTAACTCCGCATCCAACCCGTGATCATCACGGCCGCGAGGAACTCTGTTATAATCCCGGAAAGGAAGACGATGGCGCTCACGACGATTCTCTGGCCCTGATAACGACCGAGGTCGTTTTCCCGGTCGAGAATCGCCAGATCTGCAAAGCCATCGTTCCCTTCCACCAAGAAATCGCCGAGGATCCACCAAGAACAACAAAGACGAAGAAGACAACAAAGAAGAGCACGATCAAGAAGAGGAAAGTAGCGGCAGCAATCCCAAAGCTACTGGAAGAACATCAGGATCACAAACAATTAGCGCAGGTTAGTGATCAAGTTATTAGCAGTAATGGAGAACTCGGGATGGCCACCACAGTCGATGTTGCTCGCTTGTCCAGCTGCTCCATCGAAGATTTCAACGAGGCATGCTCGACGATCATCAAGCTACGTCGTCAGGAGTGGCAAATCCGTTGAGATCTAACAAAAACAAAAGCTAAAGAAATACCCCAAGAACATGCTATGATCTTGTGACTTGTCAAGAACCTTCTATGATCATGTGTATAGTTTGAAGTTTCGACTAGGGTTTGGTCAAGGCGAATGTTCCTCCTGGCGGCAAAAACAGACAAAATCTGGGAAGTTCCCGACACTTTTCATAGTTTTATAGAACTTGGCTCAGCAAACAAGTTGACGGGCCTACAAAACAGAGACTAAAGTCTCGGCGGTGATCTTCCCAGGTTTCTTCGTCCCAAAGTCTTCGGGATTAATCAACGCTCGTGAGCAGCGAGCGGGTCATTAGCATGTCGAAAAGATGAGTTCGAGGTCTCAATCCCCCAATTTAATTGCATTGCATTGCTCTCACCAGAATTAAAGGTGGCATCAGAAGATTCTCTCGTATTTTTCTAGTTTTTATGCTGGCTGGGAAGGAATCACCCGTGAAAATCGCTTTATCATCTCTATTGAATCTTTTATCTTTTTGAGAGACCCAGCATTTGTGGAAACTTATATCTATACACAATGAACAAGGAACTTTGCCCCGTGATTCTTCGCGACGATCCATATTCCTTCGGATTGGATCATCTCAATTGCCATTCTTTGCGATGGAGCTTGATGATGGCAGAGCATGCCCGGTTGAAATCATCCATGGAGCAATCCAGCAGCCGATCGACGCCCACCGTGACCATCGCGTTTGTGGCAACCTCGCCGCGCCCCGGATTGCTGCTCACTGGAGGAGATTTCCTCGCCTTCTTGCGCTTCTTCTTGATCTTCCCGGGCGAAATTACAACAGGGGATTCCACTTCCACTGGCGTCTCCGGCGGCAATTCATCGCAGAGCGGAGGGGCTGGCACCATATCCCTGCAATGATTGCTGTCCAGGAGCTCTGGATCGCCCTGGCTTGTCACGACCAAAGCCAGAGATCCCCCGGCGCCGCAAAACTCGAGCTCCTTGAGCTCCTCTCCCGGATAATCCCCGAAAGAAGAGGAAGAGACGACGAGGATGTCAAATTCATTGCCGCCCTCCGGTATGATGTGCGCGATGGCGGCATTCGCGTCGTCGTGGACGACGAGCGCTCTGGACGATTGGTCGCTGCTAGGGTTCTGGGCAGCGCGGCCCATCGCAAACAGTGTGATGACGAGGAGATTGACAGCGAGAAAGAGCGAGCGCATGGAGACCTTGGGCGCGCGCGACCTGATGGCCTCGGAATCGAGGGCGAGGAGCAGCGGGACGAGAACCGCGAAGAGGAGAGAGCTCCGGAGTCCCTGGAAGAGGAGCAAGAAGGCAGCCATAGCTTAGAGCTCTAAACGATTAGGTCTGCATTGCGATGTAGCGAGGGAGCGTCGAGAGGAAGCGCGGGCGAAGGAAGAAGCGAGGAATGTTTGCTCTATGTCGTGGAGCAAAGAGACTGTACGGAAGCGTTGAATCGTCTCCCGCTTTTTCCCGCCAATTTTCAAACACTCTCTCCTAGGGTTTTTGCGGGGCTCCGGCTATGGCTGCGGTGCTCCAAGCGCTCGATGCTGCCAGAGGCTTGCGATCCTGGACGTGGCGCCTGGAGGTTTGGGGAATAGAATAACTTTCGCCTTTTGTGGTGGAGGGGAATCCTGCTTTCGTATCGGGAAATTTTGCTAGCATTAGCTCGCCTTGCACAGGTTTATGGACTTGTCGAGCTCAAGCACTATGAGAGGTACAAAACATCGGTAATTGTTTAGAAATTTCTTTGACAACTACTGTTTGCTTTGCTTTTCCTCCGGATTTTCCAGAAGCTGTGCCACTTTAAAGATGAGATTCGAGCTTTTTCCTTGGGGCCTGATTGGCTCCAAAAGCTTATATGCTACCAGAACTCAGGTAACTTAGTTGCATTTCCAATCCTACCATGACTATTCCTATGTGTTAGTCGCCATTTTTGTAAGGATTTGCTTGGACTGGACGGGACGCAATTGCAACATGCAAGAGGTAGCGTAGTTTTTAATAATTCTACGCTAAGGATGACAAACACAGTTAAGCGAATTTCGTGCGAGCAAACGTGTTTGACTCGGATAAATCCATCCTTCTTTAAGATTCACAAGTATGGTCTGTAGCTCTCCACGTGTTCGCTGCAAAAAGAGCAGTGTAAGCTCCGATTGATGTGGAAATGGCGCAACGCTTGACATTGGCTTCGTCTGTTTGCGTTGCTAACATTCCAGGAATACCAACAACGCTCTCCAGGAATGCTTGGCTGGGCGAGAACAAAAAATGGAGGCAAAGTCCCAAACCCGGAGTGCCGCTGCGGCTCACAGGTACTTGACGAGTTTTTGATTTTCCAGGCAGAAAGAGAAAACAGTGCTAGACACGCTTGAAAATTTTGTAGTTCGCGCTGAGAGCAGCGGTGGTGGTGGTGGTGGGGGTGAGCAAGGAACCAGCCAGTACGGGCTTGGTGGTCCTGGTTCCTTCTTTGGATTTGGCAACTTTCAGGAGCGGCTAGTTGGGCGATTCGCTATGGTTGGCGTTGTGGTAAGCTGGATTCGCAGCTCTTCCTCCAAACTTACAAGCGTCTGCAGGCGGCTCTGGTAATGGAAGTTGTGACGGGAAAAGGGATTTTCGGACAACTTGGACTTGATCCACTCCGAGTTCGCTATCCAGTTCTGTTGGGATTCACATTCTTACTGGTGGCAGGCCTTGTTGGCGGCTACGTGGTGATAAACAATCCCCCCGACGAGTCCAAAGCTCCGCCGAACGAAGGAGCCGGAGTTCCCCGTGATCCATTAAAAACTTTTGATCCGAAAGACATGGACAGGCTGCCGACGTATACTCGTGGAGGTGTTGTTGAACGCCCAGACGGACAGGTTGACATTGATTTTCTATTCCTTGCAAGTTTAAGTGATATTTAAGTGCTGCTTTTGCAGAGGGGACGAGAACCATATGTGTCGGACCTGGACGTTAAAGATTAGAAAAACTATCCGTTCACCAATATTACAAGAAATGAGATCCACATGACAAAATGTTACTCTTTTGTGTGGAGTAAAGGTAAGATTTTCCAGAAGGTAGTATTCCTTTCTCTCTTTTTTTCCCTCTTCATTCCCCCATGGCGGAGCTGGCTGAGGAGCAGGTCTCTGAGCTGAAGGAAGCATTCAGCCTGTTCGACAAAGACGGCGATGGTATGACTTCCCAGGTCTCAAGCCAGTGATTTCTAAAAACGTTTTGCATTTGACAGAGCGCATCACCACTCGCGAGCTCGGGGCCGTGATGAAATCCCTTGGCCTGCATCCAACGGAAGTGGAGCTGCAAGATATGATAGACGAGGTTGACAAGGATAAGAGCGGCACAGTGGAGTTCCCCGAGTTCGTCGCCCTCATGGCTCGCAAGATAAGAGGTGCCGAGTGCGAGGAGGAGCTCAAGGAGGCATTTCGCGTGTTCGATCGCGATCAGAATGGCTACATTAGCGCCGTGGAGCTCCGCCAAGTGATGGCGAGCATGGGAGAGAAGCTGGGACAAGAGGAGCTGGAGGAGATGATGCGAGAAGCGGACATAGATGGTGATGGGAACGTCAACTATGTAGAATTTGTCAAGATAATGACCATGTGTAATTAGTTAGCCTAAACACTTATTAAATAATTTCCTTAGAATTTAGTTTAGAAGAAAAAGGTAAGTATAATGTCTCTTAGGCAAAGAGAAAGATTCCTAGATTTGTGAAGTTAAGGATCACAGCAACTACGGGAACCGGTGTCCATGCAACAGTCACCAATTAATGATCAATATGACGGAAGTAAGTATTCCTGAAGTTTTTATTAAGCACGTGTTAGAATAAATCATGTTAGACTAACCTTGGGGACTCGTCGTCGTATACGCGCTGGACAGCAGCATGTACGACGAGGAATGCGTGGCGCCGAGCCCGTTTGCGAAGCTCGCGCACCGAGCAGCCCGGCCCAGATCGCCATGCACCTTGCAAGCGCCCAGCAAGCTCGTCCACTCGACAGAGTTCGGCAGAAACGGCATGGTCTGGACGAGCTCCTCGGCCTCCGCAAGCCTTCCCGTCCGTCCCAGCACGTCTACAATGCACGAGTAGTGGTCGTGCAAAGCGGCCAGTCCAAAGTCGGCCACCATGCTCGTGAATCCACTCCACGCCTCGCGCAGCATCCCCGCGTGGCTGCAAGCGTGGAGGATGCTCGTGAAGCTCACCTCGTCGGGCTGGATCCCCTCGAGGTTGAGGCAGCGGAAGAGAAAGACGGCGTCGTGGATCCGGCCCTTGTGGCAGTGCGCCGAGATGATCGCGCTCCACGAGACGGCGTCGTGGAGCGGCGTGGAGTCGAAGATCCGGGTAGCGGACTCGAGGTCGCCCGACTGCGCGTAGGCCGTGAGGATGGCGCTCCACGCCAGGACCTCGTGCGCGGGCATTCGATCGAAGATGGCGCGCGCATCGCCCACCGCGCCGCTGCTCGAGTACATCCCGATCATGGCGTTCCAGGGGACGTCGTTGCGCTGCGGCATCGCGTCGAAGACCTGCTTGGCTCGATCCAGGCTGCGCGGATCGGTGGCGAAGGCCTGGATCATGTAGTTCCAGCTGAAGGAGCTCCGGAGCGGGACGAGATCGAAGACGCGCTCCGCGCCGGCGAGGTCGGCGTTGGTCGCGAAGGCCGAGATGAGGATCGTCCAGGCGGTGGAGTCGCGGGCGGGGATGGAGTTGAAGGCGAGCTTGGCCTCGCGGAGATGGCCGCGGGGTGACGAGTAGAGCACCACCATGGAGGTGGCGGCGACGACGTCGTGCATGGGCATCTTGTCAAAGATGGACTTTGCGTCGTCCATCCGTGACTTGTGGACGAATGCCGAGAGAATCGCGTTCCAGCACGGGTAGTCCCTAGCGGACGAGGATCCGGCACAGACTCCAGGCATTCGATCGAACAAGCCCTTGGCTTCCTCAAGATTCCCGGACTCGGAATATCCCTGGATCATGGTCGTCCAGGACACCACGTCCCAGCCGGACATCTTTTCAAACAGCGCTTTCGCTTCTAGGAGATGGTCTCTCTGGGTGTGCGCCGCCACCATGGAATTCCACAGTACGAGGCTTCTGGAAGGGATGGAGTTGAAGATTCGCTTAGATTCCTGGATGTGCCCTCGCAGGGCATATGTGGTGGCCATGATGTTCCACGAGATTCCGTTCCACGCCGGCATGAGATTGAAGAGCGCGTAAGATTCCTCCAGATACCCGTGCTCGGAATATGCCACGATGAGGATGTTCCACGACACGCAGTCACGCTGGGGCGTGCAGTCAAACACGTCGCGCGCCTCCTCGAGATGCCCTGCCTGGGAATATGCCTGCGCCATTGCATTCCAGGATACCGAGCATCTCCCGCCCATGCTGTCAAAGATTCGCTTGGCTTCGTAGAAAAGACCCGCCTGGTTGTAGGCGGTGATCATCACGTCCCACGAGACGAGATCGTGAAACGGCATGAAGCGGAAGATCCACTCGGATTCCTGCAAATGCCCGTTTCGGGCATACGCTGAGAGAAGAGTGTTCCAGGAGATCATCTGCCGCTCGGGCATGGAGTTAAAGAGCAGCCTCGACTCGACGAGATACCCGTTCACGGCACTGCCGTTCACGATTGCGTTCCACGAGACGATGTCTCTGCTGGGCATAAGATCAAACGCATCTCGCGCTTGCAACAGATGCCCTTTTTGGGCAAACACAGAAATGATCGAGTCCACGACAGAACATCGCGCTCCGTCATCGAGTCGAAGACATGTTTCGCCTCGTCCGGGTGCTCGTTGTGAGCGTAGGCTGCCAGGATCGCGTTCCACGCAATGACGTTGTGCTGCGGCATGAGTTCAAACATAAACTTAGACTCCTCAAGATGCCCGGCTTGGGCATATGCGGTAACCATCGCAGTCCACGACACAAGGTCTTGCTCTGGCGCCCGATCAAACATCTCCTTGGCTTTGTCAAGGTGCCCGAGCTGGACGAACACGGCGACGATGAGCGTCCACGAGAAGACATTCCGGCGCTGGATGGCATCGAAGGCCGCCCGCGCGCCGTGGAAGCAGCCGCAGCGGCCATACATCTGGACGAGGAGATTGCCCAGGAATGTGTTGGAGGCGATGCCGGCGTCCTGGATCTGTGCATGGATCCTCCGCCCGCGCTCCAGATCCCGCTCCTGCCCGCATTCGCGCACCACCTTCGCGAACGCGTTCTCCTGCTCGCGGAGGTCGAGGCTGTGCGACTGGAGCACCGCGCGCGCGAGCCGCCCCCATTTGGAGGTGCGAAGCATGCATTAGGGCTTCTTCTCTCGCGTTCAAACCAGAGCATATTCTTTTGGTCCTCCACTGAGTCACTTCATCAAATCTCTACCCCGGATCTCGCTCTTAGATTCGGGAGCTTCGTGCGGTTAGGATCAAACACGAGGTGAGTGTATCTTGGATCGACATGTCTCATGCCTTCCTGGCGCTACGCGTCGGCGAGCTATAGAAGGGGCGCAGCGTTAGAAAATGTTAAATGTTCTTTCCTGGTTTCTTGGCTTTCGATCTTGGGCAGAATGTACATGATTTTTCTCCTCTCTGCTGACGTGATCTCGGAATTGGCATCACGATGCTAGCTGGTGACACAATGCAATAATGGCCGTCCAAAGCTCCTGGGGAAAGCAATGACCGTCCAAGCTTGCAGTATGCCTCCGTCCCGAGGTCTCAATCCGAGTTTTGGCCAAAGTGACATGAGCTGCGGACTTGGAGATACGGGAGAGGTATCGTATTTTTCTTGATGTGTTTGTTGTTTGCCTGGCAAATCTTGTTCGAAAAATCATGGCTTTTGTGAAATGTTTCGTTTGGAATTTGATTGTGATTACACACATCGTTCATATAACGCCATCCATTACAGTGGCACAGGCCCGCAAGAAAGCACGGGAACTTCGCAAACAACGCCAGCTTGTTACATTTAAAATACACCGTGAAGCTCCACAAACAAACAGTGTCGGAGAGGCTAAGGTTAAAAAACAGAGCAACCTAGAACGACACAATTGATCGCAGCGATGAGAGAACTCACGAAAGAGAGAGCTTGAGCAACACTACACTCAAAGCTTGAGTAAGTTCCCACAAAACATTTTGTTTCCTCCAACTGGGAGATGAGTGAGATTAAACCATTTACTGTAGCTTATCCTCTCGCAGAAACGTCTAGAGAACAAGCGTCGCTAAAACTTTGAGATTGAAGTTTCTGTATGCAGGCATACACAATGCAAAGCTTGCTGCTTGCTTCGACGAGGCAATCCGGGTTTTGAAGGTTCTTTTTCTTTACTATCTGTCCCACCGATTATACTTAGAATCCTCACAACTTTGCAATTGCAGGAGAGATGTTTTGTTGTACTGCATGCTTTTTACTGGAAGTTCTGTGTTGGTGTCTTTGTGCTTAACATTTCTCTACATTTTCATGTTAATGGTAGACACTATCCCAAAGTTCTTTTGATTCTACTCTTTTTTGCTTTGCCAGCCAAACACGTTTGGAGAGTGAGGAAAGGCATAATGTCAATGGCCTTCAGCAGTATGTCAAGGCTCCTATACTCAGCCGATGAGTCCTTCATCCTTTCTCAGGTAACTGTAACAAATTTTGAGGTTTTCCTCGATTCTAAGTTTTTTATTCTGAAACTGGCGCTTCGGAGTTCCCGCATTCATAAGTAAATTCGACTTTCTTAGCCTGGTTTTCCCCCACGGGAGAAAAGCGTCTCAAGTGTTGCTGCTCATCACGAAATCGTAATTTTCTTTCCGAAGGTAAGCCATCTTCGTTACGAACTCTGGAATGACATAAAATTTGGTTTCTTGTGCAGCTGCGGGATTAGTACGCGGCATGCGAGAAACAGAAAATGACGGCAATTCTACCTCGTCCTTGATCCCTTGGCAAAACAGCGACACTTGTAGGAGTGATCACTGGACGCTCCGGAATTTGCACTGCACAGTTCTCCAACAGATCGGAGACTTCGAAGTCCTTTCTCTTACCGGGAGGTTGCTCGGGCATCTCCTGTGTCATGGATTTTGAGGACCGATGCAATGTGAGAAGCGACGATTCCGGGATGGAGCAAGAAGCATTCACAATGGGTAAGCCAGGAGAATTCTTTCCTTTTGTTCTTTCTCTCTTTTTCTTTGTCTGCGTGTGATTGTATCTCTTTGGTATGCAGCTCGATCGATTACAGTGACGCTCTCACCAGTTCGTTTCCGTGCATCGTTTTCATCTCCTTTTCGTAAGCGTCCACGAGAAGACATTGCGATCCCAAAGGCCGCCTGGGCGCCGTGGAAGCAGCCGCAGCGGCCATACATCTGGACGAGGAACCGGCGATCGATGGCCCGGGGAGATTGCCCAGGGATGTGATCCTGGTGGGTTGTCTCACGGTTAACGTTGTGCGTCTGCGGTACTACCACGGCACGGTGACCAACGGCGAGATGGTCCAGCTTGTCCGAGAGCGGAACGCTCCAGATTGCGCTCCTGGCCGACCACCCGTCGTGCGCACGATGCATTACCTAAGGCTTTTTCAAACCAGAGCATATTCTTTGGGTCTACTATTTTCATAATGCCTGGATGACGTGGCGGATCTCGAGTCAAAATATCTTAGAGCCAGCTGCCTTAGTTCTGGATCTGGGTTGGCCTTTTTAGGGCTCTTAGATGGGAGGGATTTCATGTGGTTGGGATCCATCAGTGTCTGGTTCTACAGAACCATTTTGATTCTGGAACGACATGTTTCATGCCTTCCTGGCGCCATTCTACTCGTGTTACATGTCGGCTAGATACAAGAGGCGTGCAAAGGTTTCCATCCATTTTACGCATTTATAAAAGTCTTCTTTTCGCTTGATTCTTGAGGCGGTGAAATGTCCATCTTAGAATTTATTTTTTTCTGGTCTCTGTTTCGATGATAAAAACGTGATCTTGCAGTACGTCTGGGCATCTGGGTCTCCATCCAAAGTTTGTTGCGAGTCTCGGCGTGGATTCTAGCTGCCGAGTGGACGATTCCCGCTGGGGTTTTTTCGTATTTGCTGTTTGCCCGCAAACATGCTTCTCATGGTGGAGGTTATTTCGCATACATGAAATGTTTGGTTTGAGATGCTTTGTTCATCATAACGTCATCCTTTGCAGTGGCGCAGATCCGCAAGAAAGTGCACGGGAGCTTCGCAACCAAGGCCAGTTTCTAAGCTTGTACATAGAGCTTGGTCGAGGAAAGTCTAAGTTGCTCTCTTTTCTAGACCTACCTATGAACTTCCAACGAGCACCAAAGCTGAGTAACTTTCCTTCAAAGCTTTCAAATCTTGTAAACTGTAGCTTAGCCTCTCGCAGATTGTACAGATCCTTTTGAAAGTGGAAAACATTTGCTTCAGGCTCTTTTCTAGAGGACAAGCGTTGCTAAAACTCTTGTGAGAAGCCATTAAAGTTTCTGGCACTTTAAACTGGTAAGCTTTTATTCTACTGGGATCACTCTGAAGCTGGCTTTTCTTGTTTGTTTGTTTTGTTTTTCTGTATGCAGGCATACACAACGCAAAGCTTTCGACGAGGCACTCCGGGTTTTGAAGGTTCGTTTTCTATTTGTTCTCTATCACAACTAGAGAGTCGTTTCTTGTACTGCATGTTTTTCTTTCTGTAATTACTGGAACTCTTGTGTGTGGGTGACATGTCTTTGGTGACATGTCTTTGCGCTTAACATTCCTCCACGTTTTCATAGACGTTCAAGACCAACAAATCCCAAACCGTCAATTCTTTCAATCTTCTACTCATTATTGAGGCAATGATCGGGAAATATGTATTAGTGTTCTCGTCGGTAAGTATCTCCGCTGCGAAAGACATTGTGTCCCTATTGAAATCGCCGTCGCCATTATGTAAGTCTGCTATACTCTGCCGATCGTCCTTTATCTTCCAGGTAATTGTAGCAATTCTTCTAGCAGTTTTCAAAGTGTCATATATACTAGTTACCGCAATTTGCAAAAGCATCAAACTGTTTGACTTTTCTTGGCTGGAACCTTTTGTTTCGTGCATGTCGTCAAGCCTGAGTGCCTGATTAAGTAATGACTGATTAAACTTTGGGGAAGGAACAGGTTTTACTGGAGCATCATTCTTACTTGAAAAAATCCGGATTTCAAGCAGCTTATTAATTTCGGCTTGTAAGCACACAAGTTTATGCCGTTTCTCATTCTACTATTGTTCTGGTGATATTGCCACTTAATCTGGTAAATCATTGTTCTTCCACAAAGGCACTGTACTAAGCTTGTATATAGAGCTTACTTTGGAAACTATACGTGAATCTCTACAAACAAACAGTGAGGAAAGGCCAAGTTGCAGTTATTTCTAGAGCTAAAAAGACTAACCTTCACCTTCTATGAAGTTCAAACGACGCAACACGCAGCAGCATTAAGTGCTACCCTCAAAGCTGAGTAAATCTCTTTAAAACTTTACAATTTGTATTTTCCAGCTGTGAGATTAGTAACTGTAGCTCAGTCTCGCACGCACAGATTGTGCAGATCCTTTTGTAACTGGAAAACATTTTCTTCAAGCTCTTTCCAGAGAACAAGCGTCGGTAAACGAGAAGCCATTAAAGTTCCTGGCGCTTTAAACCGGTAAGTACTGGGATCACTTTGAAGGCGGTTGATTTTCTTTTTCTGTATGCAGGAATGAGAACGCAAAGCTTACTGTTGGATTCGATGAGGCAATCCAAGGTATTTTTCTTTATTACTTGTCCACTGAAATGCTCAATTGCAAGAGATCGTTTGTTGTACTGCATTTTTTTTTTCTGTAATTACTGGAAGTCCTTGTGACATTCATTTCTCTACATTTCCGGTTTTCTTCTCCGAAGCTTTATGCAGTGATTACAGTTCTTGGAACGAGGCTTTCAACTCGCAAGCAATCTTCTTCCATGGGAAGTAAGAGCCTTTTGTCACATTTTTCATTCAGGCTTAATTTTGCAGTCCCACGTTGATGAACCAAGCAAGTCCTTGTGTAACGAGAGTCGTTCTGGATAATTTCGAGTTGCTGCTCAGCCCGTGCATCTGAAATCGAGACGCAGTTCGTCAAGTTCGCACTAGACCGCTGCGTAAAATGGACAGGCATACATCGATCTCGCCACACTGCTTATCATCAATTCAGCCATGACTCAGGAGCATCGAGAGAAAGCTATAGAAGATGAAAAGCGTCCTCAAGTGTCAGGGAATCATATAATATCTTCTCTTCTTTCCGAAAGGCAAGTCATCTTCGTTGCTCTTTAGGAGAAATGACATAATTGTGCACCAGGAAGTCCGATCACTCTTGCAAGTGGCGCTGTTTTGCCGAGAGGGCAAGGACAAGGTTTCAGCTGAAGGTATTGATGTAGAATTGCCGTCATTTTTTTGTTTCTCACACGCCGCGTACTAATCGCGGCCTGGACAATTCGGAATTTGCACTGCACACAGAATTCCAAAGGCGAAGGCCGTGCTTTAGGCATCAAAGCGAAAGCTTTTCAGCTTTTCTTTTTTATTTACCGGGTGAGTGATTGTGATATTTTCGTGCATTGTTTTCATTGCCAGGATTCTGTTTACGAATCTGCTTTTTTTTATTGGCCGTTGCTGGGGACTTTGCAGGAAAAACGCATCCGAATCTCAATCAGTGGGGGTCTTTTTCGGCAGTGCGTCGAAGCAAAACCAGCGTACTCGGTAAAAAACCTCAGGAGAAAGCTTGCAATCCTTTTTTTTATTATGATTCGGTGTATCTGCAGCAAATCATCTGTGATTCGGACGCTACACTCTCAGCATTTACAGCTCCCCCGCAAAACATTTCTATCAGTCCCAGAGATTACATTCATCGCAAGGAATTGACCCCTCCAAAATCAAAAGCGCAATGGTACTACTGCCACTTTATCTTTTCCACAATCGAAAGCGAGGCAATACACGCAACTTCCATCTCGATTTTTCAGGAAAGTATTACTTGAATTCCTTGTGTGCTAGTGCTACTTCAATCAGGCACAAAGCATTGGATCGTTCCACAGGCTAAAAAATAAAGGTAAAGCGGAAAGATATTTCCTCTCCTTTTAGACACGTGGTCGACAGCTATGCGCTCCTGATTTCGAATGCGCGAATGGATGAGTATTCGAGCTCCGGATAAGCTTTTTGGCCTTCCCCAGATGCAGGCGGCGGGTAGTGTGTGGATCATATAAACCGCCTGTCCAGGAAGTGCCTGGCGCGTATGGGAAGGTAGTAACGGGCGAGAATTCTATAAGAGGAAAGGCTAAACAGTAGAGGGTAGTGGAGCACAGCGCAAACCCTCGTTCCACAAATAGCAACCATCCGGTTTGGTTCACCAGTTAAAAATAAGGCTCACTGCTCCTTCCTTTTTCCATCCACTCCTCCTCCTTCTACCTTTTTTCCTTCTTCTTCCTCTTGGCGAGCTCAATTAAGCAAGCCAGCGTTCTTCTTCTTCTTCTTCTTCTTCTCGATAGGGAGAGGGAGAGAGGCGGTGTTGGGGGGATGTGCGAGTTAGATGATTTCAGGGAGCTGTAGCAGGCCAGGGGGATTGTGCAGGAGGGGAGCAATGGGTCGCGGCAAGATTGAGATCAAGAGGATCGAGAATGCGACGACAAGGCAGGTTACCTTTTCCAAGCGCCGTGGGGGGCTCCTGAAAAAAGCGCGCGAGCTGGCGATTCTGTGCGATGCCGAGCTCTCGGTTATCATCTTCTCCAGCACCGGCAAATTGTTCGAGTACGCGAGCTCCAGGTAGGAGATAAGAGAGAGAATATGAACAGGAGGTGGTGTGTTCTCAAGACTTTTTCTCGCATTTTGAGAGAGAGGGTGAAGGGAGAGAGAGAGAGAGAGAGAGAGAGAGAGGAGAGAACGAGAAGAAGAAGAGAAAGCGAAGAGTGGTGTTTCTTACTTTTTTTTAGTTCCGTCATTCTTTGCATGGGAAGTCGCCATTCTTTGCATGTGGGATCTAGCGCCCAGAAGATGCATTTAATGGCGAAGCTTCCACTTTGGCCCAGGATTTTGCGATTGACATATAGAAACTGTGAGTCTGATGTTTGCTCCTTGTCTAACAGCATGAAGGACATCCTGGAGAGGTACAGCAAGTGCCCTGAGAGAAATCCCAGCAGCCCGCTGGATGTTGATCTCGATAACGACGTAAGTCCTTAGCTTACAACTAGATAGGTGTATCTACCATGAATTGTCTTGGGTGCTTTTCTGACAGTACTGGAATCAGGAAGTGGCAAGGCTCAAGCAGAAAATCGAGCAACTGGAGAACACAAAAAGGTCATTTCTTTTGTGGAGGTTGATGATCATAGAGCGTCGTTGTGGTCTCCAGGCATATGATGGGCGAGGAGCTCACTTCTCTGACAGTGAAGGAGCTCCAGGAGCTGGAGCGAATGGCTGAGAACGGATACAATGAGATCCGAGCGAGAAAGGTGAGGATCCCACTTCAAAAAGTTTCGATATGTTTTGAACTGAAGTGTGTGTATCTGAAATTGGTTTTGATCTAGTTGACACTGATGAACTTGCAGGAGTCGCTTCTCATGGAAGAGCTCGAGGAGCTCCGGCGCAAGGTGCGTCCAAACTTTCCTGTCATTATTTGCATCATCTAGTTAACTTTCCACGCTGGAAATATCTAAACACTGTTCAGGAGCGTGAGCTGCAGGACGAGAACACTCAACTTCGCGAGCAGGCACGCTTTGATCTTTGCTATTGAAGCTCTTGAACAAGATTGTGGTTGATAATCCCACAGGTCGAGGCAGCGGAAGGGATAGGAAGTCACACGCTACGTTCGTTTACAGTGCTAACCGAAGCTCGAAGCCCTTCGGAAACAAGGGAACCCACGACGATCACACCGGGAGCTCAAGCTCAGGACAACTTGAGGGACGAGTCCGACACCTCTTTGCAACTCCGGTGAGCTGAGATGGGATGGCTTTCTTCTTTTCTTCCTTCCTGATCTTTGAAGTTGGCTTGGCGGATTTCTAGGTTATACGTTGATACGAATGGAGATGCCAGTCCCAGCTCCAATGGACACAACAAAGGAGAGTAGAGCACTTGAAGCAAAGGACCCACCCCTGCAGCATATACTAATACTATAAGCTTTGCTGATTTTGACTGAAAAAATAACAATACAGAAACAGAGAATTAGCGTTTCTTGAGGCTTGCCTCTTTCTCTTCTTTGGTCATGAGCCACGGCGTCACTCCCAGTGTGAAGCTTGGGGCCACTGTAGTCTCCAAAACGGTGCTTCTGTTCACTCCAATCACCTGTCGGTCTTTGAAAGGAGGCTGCTTCCCATTGCAGCGAAAACATTCCTTGTTCCTCGCGAAGTTGACCCCTTGGCAGCTACAAAAGATGGCAAGATATTTTGAGCCGGGACAAACTTAAAAGCTTACTTTGGACATTCCCAGTCTCCCCAACGAAGCTCTTTTGGCGGTCGTGGTGCGCTACAGTCGTCACATACTAGACTTCTTGCCAAGTTCTTTTGATTGCACCTGTGACCAAATAATTAAGCCTGAAAATTTTAATCACGAAAGGCTTACTTGAAGCATTTCCATTCTCCTGTCCGGAGCCCACATGGAGTACTGCATCCGCGACAGAACTTATTGCCACTAAAGTTAAGCAATTTGCACCTAGGAACAAAAGTAAACATGAATTTTTTGTTATTTTTCCTACCAATGGCAAATAACTTACCTTGTACATCTCCAGTTTCCCGGTTGGACAGCCGTCTTTTCCATTTCTTGTTGACGCTCGACGACAGCATGGGGATTCTCAGCGAGGAACACGAGCTGCTGCAGAATGCTCCTGGTAGTTTTCTCGACATCCTCTGGCAGTGGCCTTTTCTCAGAGTGATCACTGACCGCATCAAATCCAAACTGAAGAAGAAGCCATAGAATGTCGCTGCTCTCCGCAGGAACCGCAGACGGAGTACTTTCGCAGCTCGCTCTGGAGCAAATGTTGCTGTGGCTACAAAACTTGCAAACCTGAAGTGAAGGTGACATGTGTCGCTACATGAAAACGTAATAAAAGCTTACATCCGATTCGGTCAGGTTTAGATACTTTCTCAATCTCTTTCCCGAGTTAACAATTCTCCTGTCCGTGTTTGGGCATCCGAAAGCACCAAAAACCATCAAGTCATCCTGTGACAAACGTCTGCCAAGCTATCAGTCTACAACGAGAAACGGAAAAAAAGAAAAAAGAAAAAAACTTACTGCAAAACATTCTCGTGCGTGGAACAGAAGCTCATTGCCGCTGCTTTGATTTTCTCCTCCATGCTCATGGCATTGTCAACTTTGTCCATCGTTGATTTCAAGTGCGATGTCTTCTTGAGGTGCTGTATAAAGGAAACCCATTCCGGCCATGGGTGCACGAGATCTACGTTCCGAGGGACGATGGAGCGCTTCGCGATGGCGGCAGGCTTTTCCTCGCCTCTAGAGACACCCTCGCTGTGAAATAAAGGCTCCTCTTCACCATTCTTTTCCTCCTCCACCTTCTTCTGTTCGACCACTCTCCCTTCATGTTTGCCGAGTTTTATGAAACATTGCTCGAATGGTCTCACACCGCCAAGGTCCTTCGACAGTTCTTCGCTTTCGCAGCTCTCAGCCACAAACTTCCCACTCTTTAGCCGCTCGATCTCCTTCTGGAGCTTCCTGTTCGTCTCCATGATCTTGAGATTCTCCTGTTCCTGTGCTACCAAGGCGTTTCGCAACGCCTTGAGCTCCCGGGTATGGCCGCCAGAGACATCATCCTCCATGCCACACACGTCGATTTTCATCCTCTGGTTGAACATCGCGATCGCCTGCGACTCACATTTCCGTGCCTCGAGCGCCACCTTAAGAGCGCCGATTTCCCTGTCCCGAGACTCGGCCAGCTTCCGGCACAAATCCGCCCTATCGTCGGTGACACTCTTCCTTTCTTCGATCGATTCGCAGCCGTAGGCCCTGAATGCGCCGTAATATCGACTACTGGAGCGAAAGAAAGGATTACCTCGCGCGCATTCTCCATGGCGGCAGCGAAGAATGGAGCTCCTCCTCAGCGCCATAAACCCTCAACCCTCCATTTTCTTCACGGATTTCGATTTTAGGGTTCTTGGGAGGAGATGTACCAATGGAGGAAATTCCCCTTCTTCGAGGAGAAGGCGCTCGGATCTGGCGCCGCGGCGGAGCTGGGGGAGAACATCGTGTGCAGCAGCAGCGGCAGGGGCCAGATCGTGCTCGGTGGCGACGATGCCATGGTCCACGTCCTGGATCGAGGTTTCAAGCTCAGCTACAGCTTCCAGGCGCATTCCACGTCTGTGCTCCACGTCCATCAGCTCAAGGCAAGTCTCGGTTTCGTAGCCCCTGGTGCTGTTTTCTCATGGATCCTCGATTCTCGTTTTCTTAGCAAAGAAACATGTTGGTGACTGTGGGAGAGGATGAGGCTGCTTCAGCACAGGTATCTTCCATGTCCCTCAAGCTCTGGGATTTGAGTAAACATCAAAGCGAGGGCCCGAGTTCTAGCAGAATAGATCCAGTCTGTGACCGAGCTTTGAGAATCTTCTCAAATAAATTTCCCGAGGCAAAAGTAAGTTGTTCTCCACATCCAGAGAAAGGTTTCTAATGTTTTCCTTTTCCAGATCACTTGTTTTCTGGTCTACGAGGAAGCACCTCCCATCTTGCTCTTATGTTTTGGCTTGGAATCGGGCATCGTGTATTGCATCCGTGGTGATATTGCTCGAGAGCGAATCTCACGACTCAAGCTTTTAGTTGATCCAGCAACGGCCACGAGTAGTGCTTCGCCGATTACCGGTTTGGGACTTCGACTAGATGGTCAAGCACTACAGCTTTTCGTAGTAACGGCGGCGACTGTGAATCTTTACAACATGCTTCAACACCCTCCTCAAAAGCAAGTCTTGGACGGGCATGGTTGCGATGGTCTCTGCGTGGCTATGAGTGATCGACAGGTAAGTTCTACACGTTCTTCTCTTTTTTCTTGGGCTGACAATTGTTGATGGTTTATAACTTTATAGGAGCTTGTTATTGGAAGGCAGGAAGCTATTTATTTTTATGAGGTGGACGGTAGAGGTCCCTGTTGGGCTTTTGAAGGCGAAAAGAAGTACGTTGGCTGGTTCCGCGGATATTTACTTGCTGTTATTGCAGACGCCCGTAAGAGCGTGTTCAACATCTACGACCTTAAGAGCAAGTTGATCGCTTATAGCTCAGAAGTGGAGGATGTTGCGCAAGTATTTTGCGAATGGGGCATCATCGCAATTATCACAAAGGACCACAAGGTTACGTGCTTAACAGAAAAAGACATGAACAGCAAGCTGGAGCTTCTCTACCGAAAGAATCTCTACCCGGTTGCTATAAGCCTTGTCCAGAGACAGCAAGCAGACGCTGCAGCCACTGCTCAAGTTATGCGAAAGTATGGGGATCATCTGTACAGCAAGCAGGATTACGACGAAGCTATGGCGCAGTATATCAAAACTATTGGACAACTCGAGCCTTCTTACGTCATTCAGAAGTTTTTGGACGCTCAGCTCATTCAGAACTTGACGCTCTATTTGGAAAGACTTCACGAGAAGGCACTGGCATCGGCAGACCACACAACCTTGCTACTCAACTGTTACACGAAGCTCAAGGACGCAACTAAGTTGGACAAGTTCATCAGGGGGGACGAGCAGACGGGAGGACAGCTTCGGTTTGATGTTGAAACGGCGGTGAGAGTATGCAGAGCTGCTGGCTACTACGAGCAAGCACTGTACGTTGCAAAAACCGCGGGGTTGCACGAATCGTATCTCAAAATTCTTCTTGGAGACCTGGGAAATTATGTTGAAGCACTGGAGTATATATCAGGACTTTCACCATCCGAGGCCGAGGTTACGCTAAAACAGTATGGGAAAATACTGGTCGAGCACAAGCCTGACGAAACCACGGCTACTCTCTTGACACTATGCAGTAGTGATGGCAATGCTACTCACACAAGCAGCAGCAGTGCTCCGCCACCGTCACCGATGGAGTTCGTGCACATTTATGTTGACCAACCGAGGTGGCTGATAGTTCTCCTGGAGCAATACCTTGTGAAGGTAAGCAGCTCCCCGATAGTGAAAGACATTCACAACACGCTCCTGGAACTCTACCTGTCCGATAGTTTGGCTTCTACTTCTCCCGAGGAAGAGAGCTCTAGTTCGTCGCGAAAAGCTCAGGTTAAGAAGACGAGATCTTTCAAAGACGCGGTGTCTAACACCCGGGAGACTGCCGAAGAGAGATCCTTGCGCTTGCAGAAGTCACTGGATCTACTAAAGAAAGGATGGGGTGCTCACGAAGAGGAGCCGCAATACGATGCAGCACTGGCGGTGATGCTGTGTGAGAGGCATAAGTTTCGTGACGGGCTTCTCTTCCTTTACGAGAAAAAGAGACTCTTCAAGGAGGTGATGTCGTGCTACATGAAAGACAGTGACTACCGCGGCCTCATCTCCTGCTGTGAGCGGCTTGCGGACACGAGCAGAGGTGGCGATCCTTCGCTCTGGGCCGATGTCCTTGCGTACTTCGGGGAGAGAGGGGAAGATTGCTCCAAGGAAGTCAAGGAGGTGCTGGGATACATCGAACAATACTCGCTCCTGCCCCCACTGGTGGTGCTCCAGACTTTATCCAAGAACCCGACACTCACTCTCTCGGTGGTGAAGAACTACATCGCTACACAACTCAAGCAAGAGTCGAGGCAGATCGAGGACGATCGGAAAACAATCCAGAAATACGACGTGCGTTCCTACCCGCTGCTTTTTATTCCCACTCGTGTTCTAAAGTTGGCGATGGTTTGTGGTGCAGGAGGATAATAGGCTGATGAGGGCCGAGATCGAGGAGCTGAGAACAAAGCCCCGAGTGTTCCAGCTGAGCAAATGCACGGCCTGCACCTCGATCCTCGACTTGCCGGCCGTCCACTTCTTTTGCATGCACTCCTTCCACCAAAGGTGCCTGGGTGACAACGAAAAGGAGTGCCCGGTCTGCGCTCCTTCGAACCACACGCTGCTAGAGATGAAGCGGAATCTGGCACAGAACGCCACGGACCACGACAGGTTCTTCCAGCTCGTCCGGAACTCGGACGATGGATTCTCCGTCATTGCCGACTACTTTGGTCGTGGCATGCTCAGCACTCATCGTCCTTAGCTAAGGTGGGCAACTTTTAGTGTGTTTTTTTTTTCTTCTCTTTTCTCTAGAGCTGTGGCTGATTTCCTCTTATCCTGTTGGTGCAGAAAGAAAGCTTCGCTGTTGATGTCACTCGAGTGTGTATCGGTCAGTGCTCGAAGTTTCTAAAAAGGCCTCTCATTTCCACGCCCTGTGGAAGTCAGCAACGCAAGCACACGGCGCAACATGGCTTGGCGAGTGTGCCCCCACCAGCGGATGTGTAAAAATCTTGACTCCTGCGAAAGGAGCATCGCGCGAGGATCATGACGCACGCATCATGGAAATTAAAAAAAAAAGATGAACTCACATCGAGGTAAAAAAGGAGAAGGTTGGTTTGACAATTTTAACTGCAAGGTCAGAGTGTTGCTGGGTGAAAAGAGAAATTGGGAAAATTATTGTACGTTTGCCTTCGAAGTCTTTGTGACGCGGGGGTGACGGGCACGAAAAGATCACTCAACTCAGCAGCAAGTCGTCAAGATGACGATTCATTTTGGATCTTTATTCTTTTCCTTACAAGGTTTTTCGCAAAGCTTTTATTTTGGTCACTCGAAACAAAGCAGCACGTCCATTTCTTGTTGCGTCAGTTTTCCTGCAATCCTCCGTAAAACGTCCCCACTTTGCAATTGCTACTTTCTTACACCACATTTCCTTTTTTTGCATTTCTTGACAAATGGGGTTCTTCCTTTTACCAAAAACAAAGAAAAAAAAAAAAAGATGCTAAGGGTATAGAACCTGATAATAATTGCTATGCGCCTCTGAGAAATTCCAATCCCTTCATTCTTGTTTTGACACCACTCCACTTACGCTTGACAAGCAAAGAGATACAACAGCTATGTCAGCATTCACCAAGGAGCCATATTTTGCAAAACAGCAAAACATTCTAGCCATTATATCACCCCAATGGAACCAATATTCTATTCCATCCTCCCTCCTGCTGCTACACCAACCAGAGCAGCCAGAGAAAATCCCACCATATGAAATTCCATTCCCACTTGGGAGTGCAAAAGAGATACAGGGGAGAGGACATGAGAAGGGAAATACTACCCCCAGCCTCTATTTAACAAGTCAGGAGATCCCGAAAGGAAAACAAAAAAAAAGAAGAAAATAAAAGCAGGGAAAACAAACAAAGTAAGAGAAATCAAGTCTTTTGGAGGCACACTCTTTGCTGAGAAGCTTTTTCCACTCTTCTCTTGTGGTTTGATGTTATGCTGCTTTATGGTGGCGTTTGATTCTGGGACTTTCTTTCATAGCCACAGAGCCCCTGCTTCCTTGAGCTGGGGGACAAGCTCGCCGCTGATATGAGAAGCCATGACTTTATCCAAGCCACCAACGAGCTTACCCCCGATGAAAACAGTGGGAGACACCTGGGAAATCCCTGTGAATCTGGCCAGCGCCTTCTCGATCTCGGGCCCGTTCTTCTCCTCGTCCAGCTCGAACACCACTGGATTCACTCCCAATCCGCACAGCAGCCTCTTGACGACATGACTCATGCAGCAGCCACTGCTGCTGAAGATCACCACCGCGTTCTCCACCGCCAGCTTCTCCACTACTTCCACCGCCGACGAAGACGTTGATTCGGCCGGCGCTGCATGGCCCATGAGCGGCAGCACAATGGCGCTCTGGCTCGACACTTCGTTCATCGCCACACCTCCTCTGAGATGTTGTAGGGAGAACTAGAAGATCAGAACACTGAGAGGACAGGAGAGAAAATCTTGACAGGATGCAAGGGATACTTAAAGCATCTGATCCAATTCTTTCCAGACCATGCAAGGAGAATTCTTCATCCGCTGTTCTAAAGAGAGAGCGAATAGAGGCCTTACAGAGCCAAGAGAGGAATCGACACACGCTGGGTGACTTTGGAGTGGTCAGTCAATCAAGCCGGGCACGGTAAGGCAAAGGGATCTGATCCCAGAGGATTGGCCAGTCAAACGAGAACTGGAGACGAGCAAAGACTCAGAGTCTCTAGATGGAGATGGAGAGACGAGAGTCTAGACGAGAGAGATAAAGAGAAGAGAGGAGAAATCTACTAGCTGTGTAAGCCCACAATCCGAGATATAACTAACAAATTCGGCCCAATTTCCCAGTCGCCGCCCGATGATTGATTGATCGAGATCCATCGCCCCGAGACAACACCACCAAAGTTTGCTCCCCCTGAACTGGATCGATCCTCCTCCAAAACCAACGCCAAGAAAATGAATGAAGGAACGACGAATGAACAAGGCTTTGTGCTTGTGAGGGTTTTTACCCCCCTGGTTTTACCAGCTTTTATACGCGGAAAGTGAAGAGGTAATTTCGGCCCATGGCATGCCGCCATCATGCCTACATCATATGGTCATGGGCATGATGCCAGCCATAGCTCACGAATCGGCCACGTCACACTGGCGGTGGGACCGCATGACGTGGCGGCCCGTTTCATGTGTGTACGTTTGAGGCTTACGTATATTGGCCTTGTATTGTAGAGATACACCACAAATGATTGATTAGCCCTAACAAAAAGCCTTGCCAACTTGGAACATTTGTTGGATAGCTGTCGAAATTTGATTTGACCTTTGCGCTCGAAAAGAAGCTCCATTGCTGGGGCGAGTGTGACATGGCCACGTCCCATGCCACCTGGGCCAGCTCCCCCGTGACGTCACCAGATAAAGTAGATTAAAGTGAATCAGCTGACGCCATCACAGCACATTCCGCGGCGCGCTTAAATACGCATTTCTCGTCCGTCATGCGGCATGGTGACATCGCCATGGATGGCATCATGGGGGCATCGCCGAATTCCTGTTGGTCCACGTGGAGAGCCCCGGTTGGCCCAGATTATTGTTCCCTCTTACAAACCACCTGCTGGTTTGTCATAAGAGGACCAGGTCCTCGGCCCCCCTGTGTTGTGAGGTTTGGACAAGGAAAGGCATTTGACTGGATCTGGTCCTAGGTATGCGAATCTTTGGAGGGAGCTCCAGATTTTCTTTCTTCCCTGGCCTTCATATTTCTATCAAACTTAAAATACAGTAAGCACGCCATTCAAACAAAAGAGGAAAAAAGGATGGGTTTCCAAGCGGCGGTGGTGGCGCTTTCACGCCAGCAGCGCCACCCCCATGCCCATGCACAAGAATGCTCACGAAAATCACACTTGCGTTGTCGGCGACAAAGTCCCTCTCTGTAACTTGCATTGCGGAATCTACACATAGTTTAGCGATTGATTATTTAATAGCTTGGAACTTGGAACAAAAATCTCAGAGGAGACCCGGACGTCGATAGCTCACATGGGGATGCATCCTCCCATGCCGGGCACGAGGCTTGTCTGCGACCATGTGGCTTTCGCGGCGGATTTGTAACGATTGATCCAGCGACCAGCCCATTTGCGAGATACCCTAAAACCCCCGTGACCTAAATAATTTACCCCTTAAAACCTAAACCAACCATCCCTAGCTACGACTTCTCAATGCACGTGATCACGCTCCCCTGTTTGACCGCTTGACTCTACGGTGCCCAGCGCAGGAGCTCCCCGTGATCCCGCACAGTGCATATAGCCGGTGAAATCAAAAAGGTGAAAGGTAAAAAGAGTCGGGTAACAAACCGGTGGGCGTAAAATGCAAAGTGCCTGGATAAGGTGGCGTACGGCATGACGCCAAGGCTCCTCAGAGAAGCACATGTTTGTTGATCAGTGAGGGGTCCCAGTTCGTAGCAGCAGTTGTATGTATGGGTGTACGGCCGTGCTGGTTGTGTACGCAGTGTGTGCCACGGCCCACAAGCCCGCAGTTATCTCTGGCTGGTTGCTGCCTGTGCGTGACGTAAATTCCCGAGCTCGGCTGTTGTCACTGTCTTCTAGACGCACTCGTCGATCCACAGGCACAAGTAGGAGCAAATGTGTTGCCCATTTATATCGATTGAAGCAAACTTGGCTTTTCGTTGTCACACGGCACTTAAGCTAAAGACGCGCGGCGTCATCCTGCGTGGTACGGGGAAGACGATCTTGTTGTTGGCAAAGACAGAGAGGGAAGGACGTCATCGTGCCCCGAAATTGGGGGTGAAAATATGGAAACTGTTTTGGCAAGACGACATGCATTCACGTGTTGGTGTCTTGCAGGTGGCGATGCCATATTTGCATAGAGCACGCAAAGATACGGGCGCTGCTAGGGTGGCGGGGGCGAACATGCATGGTGTGGTCATCCGGGTCCCGTGGCGGTTTGACTTTTTTTTTTTTTTGTCCCTTTTTTTGTGGGGTTTTGTTTCATTTAGAATTTCTTCTCTTTGCCCGCAGGGGATAAAAGATGGAGAATGCAACTTGGTGATAGGGCAATCTCATGTGCGCCGTCAGCAGAGACGCAGAGGAAAAGGTCTGTCACCATGTGTGGAGAGAGAGAGAGAGAGAGAGAGAGAGAGAGGGGTTGGGGAGCATGCATTGTATTGTAACCACCGACATGGCCCTGGAGCGTACTCACCAAGAGCAAGGGAGAATTTTTGGGCTGAAAGTCTTGCATAACGACCATCAGTAGCAGGTGTGTGTGTACCTACACATGTTTTACGTGTGTCTTATATCTTGAGTTTCGATTGTAATATTAGTTTTACAGTCTTGGGGCATAGGACTTTTAACTATGTAGTCGTTGGATACTGCTGATGTCACGAAATAATGATGGCAATGCTGGGCAGTTGGCAAACCCTCTCAAAGTTGCCAGCAAGCTTGTACAACTTCACCCGCTCACATCTAACCTACTATGTCCCCTAGCTGCCTGAAGTGGAATAACTTGGATTTCAGATCATCCCACTAACAGTGCGGAATTCACATGGAAACACCACAACACTGGGACACTTCCAAGTTACAACTTATGACCATGATATTTGTAACTTACCTACTGGTTTGCAAAGGTGACCTTTGTGCAGGGAAAGGAGCAACGGATGGATGGAAGCAACGTATGTATGTGACCTACCAGGTTCTCAAGCCTGCTTTTGAACGTATGTTCTAAAAGAGAGGTAACCTCTATATGCATGAAGAATAAAACAGGGAAGATCAAAAGCACATGTTCTTGGTTGTAGCAAGTGGAGTGAGTCGACGAGCGATTGGCGCTGCTCTGCGAGCACCGGACAAGTGTCAAATTCTTGTTTAATTCGCACAGCCAATGAGCACCTAAGATGTGCCAGTCTCCCATTGGCCAAGAGCAAAGTTTTCCAACGACCAGGGCATGCTATTGGATGGCTGCGAGCTATGGTTTTACTGTTGTATTTCTTACTAAAATTATGATTACGATAATTATGATTGATTATCAATAAAGAATGTATATTTGAAAGAACCAAAACGCACCAACACTGTACAAGAATTTTCCACTAAATATTTAATGATTTCTTTTAGAGTTATGACAATGTAAATTCTATATTATTAAAAACAAAAAATTTCACCTTTATAAAATATATATTTTTCTATACATTTAGAAAATGTCAAATATATAAATTAGAAATTATATTTATTAATAATATTAAGAATTATGAACCTATTACAAAAAATTGTTTCTTACCATCAATTGTTAATGCTTCAATACTCAATTAATGGGCTATATTCAAGTATATTAGAATGTTTAGTCCATGTATTTTTCTAAAATAGTAAAATTTGAATAAATTATTTTAAAATTTAAAATTTAATTATTTCTCAAAATTATATTTTTAAACTATTCTTATAAAATATTATTAATAAGTGTCCAGTATCTTCTATTGTTAAAATAACAAGTAATAAGAATTTTAAAATATAGAATTTTAAAATTTTAGAGTGTAGCAATGCTTGGTTTGCTTAATAGTAATTTTATTATTACTTATTAATCCAATTGGTCAAGTAAAGTTTATAATTATAAACATGTTTGTAATTTATAAACACAACATTAATCTTATTTCATATCAACCATTAGATGATAGAATCAAAAAGAATATACTAGAAAGGGTTTAAGAAAGTTTATAAATTTTAAATATGTTTATAAAATTATAAATACAAGATTAATCTAAATGAATAACAACCATTAGATGGTAGAATATCCAAGCATATTCTAGGTATATTCATTACCATCTTAGTCCCCCTACAAGTTTGCTTAAGAAAACAAAAAATGTATTATATTTCCATGTGTGAACCTCACATCATCCCCTCCTTTTAGAATGATGGAAGATAGTTAAGGTTCTCTTGTGAATGGGCCGGAATCTAGAAGAACATTAGGAGGGGGCATCAGTGGATTTGTAGGTGGTGCCAATGGTTCTTGATCCCTTTGTATAAAGTGTTTTAGTTGTTGTATATGTATAATTTTTGAAGGATTGGCTTGTTAAACGTCATGTTGAACCTCATAAAATTTTAATTCAATTTTCCGCAACACTTAATACAATCCTTTCTACTGAGGAAGAAGCCCTTTAGACAAACCATGTACCATAAGATTGGAAAAACAGATTAACACCAAGTTATTCACTTTGTACTCTATAGGAGGACAATGATGGGAGTTATAGCGCTATTGTTGTTCCACTTATATGCAGTTTAGGTGTTCAGCAAACTTTACTCAGATAAGTGGAAGAATGTTCATTAAATACAGATCCCAAGATCCTAACTCATGGCAATCGGGAAGATAAACTCAACTCCGTTAGTAATATCGGATCATGACTATATAAAAGTTTATATGGTGAAGCACCAATAGAACTCTGCACACTTGTGAAATATGTATATAGAAAAAACAGTAAATAACCATCCCAATTTGAAAGATAAAAGTTTATGTACTTCGTGATCATCCTTTTAAAGATCTAAATGAGCTATTCCATCAAACTATTTGACTGTGGATGATAAGCACTTGTGAAAGCATGGCGTATCCCCAATTGAGACATTAAAACATGAAATACCTTAGCTATAAATACGAGACCATTATCCAAAAAAATTTGCTTTAGATAGAAATGTTAGAACACCACTCGATTGAGGAGGAAGTATCTAATAGCAATGGCAAATGCACTAGCAAGAGCACCAACTTCCACCCAACAAATCAAGTAGTCAAAAACAATAATAACATACTCATCGTTAATAGTCAACTGTGAAAAAGGCCCTATTAGATCAAATGCCACTAACTCAAATAGAAGGGAAATTACAATTGACTTTAACCATCTGTAAGGAATCAGCTCCCCAAGATATTGTAGGCTAAAGGATCCCTAAAACCATAACCGAAATAATAAAAATTTCATCGGAGTGAGTTTAGTGAGTATAGTAAGGATAGTGAGGTTT